CGATCCTCTCCACTGCAACGCTGCAGCGACCCTCCTAACAAATAATGAAGGAGCTGGCTGGAGCAGATCTGTGCATCAGGGTGGGCAGTGGGGGAAGGAAGTACTCACTGCTCACTGCTCTGGAAAACACCCATGAAAAGCTACAGCCTCACACTCTGATACATAAGGAAGCACATTGCTGCCATTAAGGGGAAAAAACAAATTCGCCCCCTTATCTCGTAATTACGAGATAACAAATTATCACGAGATTGTTGTGGGAAATTCTTCATCAGAGGAGCAGGACTCAGTCTTGTGCAGATTCAGTTTTATTGAGCTCAATAAGTCCAACAACGCGCGCCGGGTCTGCCCCACAGAACAGACACACTGCAAGGGTTTCCCAGCTCTTACATACAGTCAGAAGAAAGTTTGTTTCACAATCTGAGTGCTTGTCCTGTTCTTTGATACAGCACACCTGAAGAAGGCTCCACGGCCAAAACGTTGTGTTCTCTTTCTTCTTTTTTTCCAGCATGGAATAAACTCATTACTTGTTCCTTTGCAGCCTACGCATGCTGACGCAGCTCCCCACCTGAACTACTGTTCTTTGATATGTAATTACCCCTTGTCCTACCCTGTCTTGCTCTAGGTTCTATCCTTTGATCTGCTTTATCCTGTTTGTGGGTGTTGTTCCTGTCTTTTATTATGTAGCGTTAAGCCACTGGGGCTGCTAAAACAAGTCAGCTCTATGGCACCTTAGTGTAACTTTTGTATGAGGCTAAATTTACAGACCCCATCAACACCTCTCACAATCCGCTTAAGTGGTGGTACTTTGATGCTGGATAAGTGAGATATATACATGTCCCACTTCAGAGATAGCAATGCTTACGTCAGTGTATGTACAGCCTGTTACGTTGTGCACTGAACGCATACAGACGCTACGGTGAACTTGGCTGGCACCTTTGGTTTAATGATTGTGTCCAGCGCTGCAGAATTTGTACAGATTTCGACTGGGGCTTAGCCATAATGAAATCGTGCAATTTTTAGCAAATATGAACAGAATCATTACAAGCACGAGGACCAGTTTTGTGGGATTTAGAGATCAAAGCAATGACGGCTCCGTTATGAACAGTTACGTGTGCAATCGCTTCCACTGCTTAAACCTGCAAGTCCGCACGTAGCGATATAGGTATTGTAACGCACACGGCCGACATTACAGGTTGTGCGAGCCGGCTTGCCAGCGCGGTGACGTCACCGCCCTTCCCTGTGGATAGCAGGGACCTCAGCCGCCAGGCTGGGGGGGAGAGCTCCCTTTAGCTCAGCTGGCTGGGTCCCGGTTGAGTGACGCCGGAGGCCCGGGTTTGAGTCCCCAGCGGTGGGGGGCCGACGTGAGGAGGGAGCAGCAGCGAGGGCGCATGCCTCCGAGAACCCGAAAGCCCTACAGTCTGAAAGGAATAAATTCAAGGTTTATTCCCTGCTTCACAGCCAAAATGTTGTGTTTCTTATCATTTCTGTTCAGCATGGAATAATAATAATAACAAAGATATGGGTACGAGATATGGGTAAGGATTTTTTTTCCCCTTGGTGGCAGCAATGCACATCCGTAGATACGACCTCAACTTCATCAACCAAAAATCCGGAGTGGGCTCTCACCACCCTCAGCTCAAACTTACAGTACAGTCACCCCTGCAGGACTCCGATGGGCGTTCCTTTAAAAACTGATTTAAAGACGCCGAAGGCCCAGCTCCAAGGAGACAGAGCCTGTAGGTCCATCAGCTCACAACTGCTGCTGCTCTGCAGCTCCCCCACTGTGCTGCACAAATATGCAATACTGCACTTGCAATGTGCTTCATCCCCTGTGTTCCCAGTGTTCCCAGCGCATGAATTCCCTCAACACTAAACAGACTACTAAACACAGCCTGGAAGCAGGTAACCTGGGATACCCCTGAGTCACGTCTGCTGTGCAGTATCTAACACCCCTGTACGTCTCCTTCAGTACGACAGTCAGGCCCAGGGTTCGACTCACCCTCCTGACGTTGGCCTGATCCCTCAGGGGAGTCTGGGCCCCGGGCTGTGGGGTGCTGGGGGGCAGGGGGGGCGCAGGAGGAGGGGGTGGGGGACACACCGCC